GAAGAGCCATAACATGCCTCGGGAGATGCTGAGTCTTTCCCTGTGTTTGGAATGCTGCTGAGTCATAATCCGGCTGCTGAGCATCACCCAGCAGAGGATCCTGTGTCCCTTCTGTTTGCATTAAGGCCAAACAAAAGCATTCAGGGCCCCTAGGCGACTCTGCCCAGAGGGTTCGTAACCGGCTCTCAGTTATTGCTGCGGACATTTCATCTGGGTGATGAGAAAACCCAGAAAGGGGCAGAGGTGGGGAAATGGGCCAGAACAGAGTACACCAGATAAAGGCAGAGAGGAACCAGCTGCACACATAGCTCCTGTGCCGTGGGCACACATTGGGCAACACGTCTCAAGCTCCTCGGCCTCCTGAGGCTTCATGTGTCGTTTTTCTTTTTTTTCTGAGACACAGTCTCGCTCTGTCACCCAGGCTGGAGTGCAGTGGCACGATCTTGGCTCACTGCAACCTCCGCCTCCTGGGTTCAAGCGATTCTCCTGCCTTAGCCTCCAAAGTAGTTGGGATTACAGGCATGCACCACCACGCCTGGCTAATTTTTGTATTTTTAGTAGAGACAGGGTTTCCCATGTTGGTCAGGCTAGTCTCAAACTCCTGGACCTCAGGGGATCCGCCTGCCTTGGCCTCCTAAAGTGCTGGGATTACAGGCGTGAGTATGTGTTGTTTCTTTAGCTGGATGCATGAATGTGTCATTGGGAGCTGCTGTCCATCCTCAGGGACAAACATGAGGGGAAAGGCATACATGTAGACATATGTACAATCTCTTCTCATTTTAAAAATGTCATAGCACTTGCGAAATAATCACTTCTCATCTGTGGCAGGACAGGATCTTTGACATTTGCTTCTGATCGTGTCCTGGGCCTGGGTGCGAGGAGCTCCTCAGACAAAGCCCCCTCCCTCACCTGTCCTCAGGCCACGTGGAGGTGAACTTCCAGGCACAAGCACCCGGCACCCGGCTGGGGCTGCTCTTCTGGAGTGGCAGGGCCATGCTGAGAAGGACCGACAGGTGACAGTCAAGGCAGCCCTGCCATCACCTTCCTGCACATTCCGGGGCGCAAGTCAGCCTCTGTGGACTGACATACTTCGTGGGGAGCACTTGGGCTCTTCGCAGGATATATGCATTTCTTTCTTAATTTAAATACATCTTTAAAGCCTGATCAACACTAGTTTTCTCCTGCTACTTAATCTAAGGAGTCTAAGAAGCTGACCAAGGAAAAGGAAAATTTCACCACGGGGGTTGGGGGAAGGCAGTACGATTGTAGGGTCTGGGCTTTTTTTTTTTTTTTTGAGACGGAGTCTCACTCTGTCATCCAGGCTGGAGTGCAGTGGCGCAATCTCAGCTCACTGCAACTTCGGCTTCCCAGTTCAAGCGATTCTCCTGCCTCAGCCTCCCGAGTAGCTGGGACTACAAGCACGCGCCACCACGCCCAGCTAATTTTTGTATTTTTAGTAGAGACAGGGTTTCACCATGTTGGCCAGGATGATCTTTATCTCTTGACCTCGTGGTCCACCCACCTCGGCCTCCCAAAGTGCTGGGATTACAGGTATGAGCCACCACGCCTGGCAGGTCTGGACTTTTATTCCCCAGCCTCCGAGAAAGCAATTTTACAGCAAGACAGTTGCTGGAATTCACTGGAGCAGAGCTTGAGTGGCCATTAGCCTTAAAACACCTGAAAGCTGAGCTAAGTAACCAGTGCTATCATTCAGTCTACCACTGACCCAGGGCCCCACTGTCCCAGGGGCTTCCTGCCCATCTACCAATTCCTCTTCTGGGTGTGAGACCTCACCTGAAAGAGCAAGAGAGCAGAGCTCAGGGAAGTTGAGGGGACAAACGTTCCCCACCAAAGCCATATAGAGAACCACTCTTTCTCCCTTTCTCCCACTTGTTCATCAACAGGTACTCTGACCACCTAGGCCAGGCACAGGAGCACAGCGCAGATGCCCTGCACTCCTGGCACACTCCCTGCAGCCATGCATTTCCTGCACTCCTGGCACACTCCCTGCACCCCCGCCCCCCTGCGCCATGCATTTCCCCTGCACCTCCTGGCACACTCCCTGCAGCCATGCATTTCCTGCACTCCTGGCACACTCCCTGCAGCCATGCATTTCCTGCACTCCTGGCACACTCCCTGCAGCCATGCATTTCCTGCACTCCTGGCACACTCCCTGGCTCATCCATGTGCAGCCATGCACTCCTGGCCACTCCTGCAGCCATGCATTCCTGCCACTCCCTGGCAGCACTGCACCTCCCCTGCAGCCCATGGCATTTCCCTGCACCTCCCTGCGCCACCTGCACTCCTGGCACACTCCCTGCAGCCCTGCACTCCTGGCCATCTCTCCCTGCAGCCATGCCACTCCTGGCACACCTCCCCTGCCAGCCCCTGCATTTCCCTGCACTCCTGGCACACTCCCTGCAGCCATCATCCTGGCCATTTCCTGCACTCCTGGCACACTCCTGCAGCCATGCACTCCTGGCACACTCCCTGCAGCCATGCATTTCCTGCACTCCTGGCACACTCCCTGCAGCCATGCATTTCCTGCACTCCTGGCACACTCCCTGCAGCCATGCACTCCTGGCACACTCCCTGCAGCCATGCATTTCCTGCACTCCTGGCACACTCCCTGCAGCCATGCATTTCCTGCACTCCTGGCACACTCCCTGCAGCCATGCACTTCCTGAATACCTTGCACACTGTGCACACTCCTGCATGCCCTACATTCCCCGTACACCCAGCAGGCCCTGCACACTCTCTATGCCTGGACACTGTGCTTGTCTCTGAGGCAGTGAGAGGCAGCCACATGACAACACAGTGGGGTCTCCCCACAATCTCACGGAGGGACTCTGGCTCCTGTGAGCCTGGCAGAAGGGCGTGACCCGCACTTTGGGGTCAGGCAGGAGGAAGGGATGCTTAGCTGAGACCTGAATTGGGGCTGAAGTCAGCCTGACAAGAGATGGCCTCTTATCATTTAGAATATTATGGCATTCTAGATGAGGTATACCACATACATATGAGGTATACATATATATATCTCATCTAGAATGCCGTAATATTCCAGATGATGTTGCCAGTGAGGGAGGAAGGGGGAGATGGAACAACTTGTACTTCTCCCTCTTTCAATCCTATTCTTCCTCACACTGAACCCCCAGGCTTAAAATGCGAGTTGGCTTTAGTGACTGACACCAAGGGGAGGGCACCTCTAGGCTGGACCCTGAGGGGTCTTTGTGCCCAACAGAATCTCGGGGGGCCAGTGAGGCAACCCTGCTTGATGTAATGAGGTCTCTCGGGGTCGGCTGCCTACCTACTGTGAAAACAGTTATTTCTGGGGAGAGAGGGCTGTCCCAGTGGAGAGCCTCAGAAATGAACTCAGCATTTGCAGGAAGTAAAAAGAAGCGGCCTACACCGGAAGGGCATGTTTGGCCTGGCTGAACCGCAGGGGAGGATCCAGTCTGGACTGGCGGCATGAGAGAGCTTTGGCCCACCCCTCAGTGGTCTCTCATTTTGAGTCCCCATTTCAGGGGGATGCTGAGAGCCTGAGAACCCCTGGTCTGGCAGATGAGCTCCTCTTCAGCCACAGAGAGAGGGGAGGCCCAGGTAGGGGAGGTGGGTCCCTGGGTCCCCAGGCAGGTTGGCAGTGGGACTGGAGGAGTCCAGGGGCTTGGCGCCTCCCCCAGTAATGCGGCCACCTTTGACACCTCTGCTTCTTGGCCAGCACTGTCCCCACCCTTCCCTAGCCCAGGTTCTAAAGTCCTTCCCATCCTTCCCACAGTTCCAATTTCGGCTTCTAGCCCATCCCCACCCAAGGAAGCTCAGCACACTCGTCTGCACCCCCTTTCTCCTGCATCCTCCTCCTGTCTGCCACTCCCCATTGATTTCTCCTCCTGCCTCTTTCTCTCTCTCTGATTTTCCCCACCAGTGGCTGCAGGTTCTGCTCGGTCTTCCTGCCTGTCCTCTCCCGGGGGCCCCAGAACTAAGCTGAGCCTGCTCCAGCCCCATATTTCACCCCAGGAGGTTGGCTTCCTTCATGGCCAGGAGGAAGTGGTGAGAGGCAGCTGGCGTGCCTGGTGGTCAGGGACAGGCAGCGTCTGAGACCCAGGCCAGGCCCCTCTCCCTGAACAGGTTTCTCCAGATCCAAAAGAAAGAGCTGGCGAGATTGGAAAGGTCCTTTCTAGACCCTAAAGAAGGCCTAATAACCCACAGGGCCAGTCTGTGCTCACGTGGTACAGTGGAAGAGAGAACACCGTTAATAACCCACAGGGCCAGTCTGTGCTCACGTGGTACAGTGGAAGAGAGAACACCGTTAATAACCCACAGGGCCAGTCTGTGCTCACGTGGTACAGTGGAAGAGAGAACATCGTTCTGTTTTTCTTCTGCTTGGGGGTCCAGTTTCTTCTTCTTTTTTTTCATTTATTCATTTATTTATTTATTTATTTATTTGAGACAGGGTCTCACTATGTTGCCCAGGCTAGTTTCCAATTCCTGGGCTCAAGCAATCCTCCTGCTGCCTTGGCCTCCCAAAGTGCTGGGATTACAGGCGTGCGCCACCATGCCCCGGCCTGGAGGCCCAGTTTCTGTTTCAGGCAGTGACCTCTGAGCCAAACCATTTACTCACCTCCTTCTCCATCTTTCTGCCCTCCAGCCCACCTCCTCCAAATGCAAAAAGCTAAGACAGAACACTGTCCTTAAGTCACCCCATCACACAGCCCCGGACATGTCCGTCTGGCAGTTCTGAAAACTGGTCCTGTGGGCATGCTTCTGAGTGCCGTGTCCTTCCCGTCTGCCTGACAGCTCTCAGGCAGCACAGCCCTCCGAGGGTGGCCAGGAGTGGTAGCTGCACTTCACCGGGAATCTTGACGCTGCTCCTTGGCTTCCCCTGTCAGATGGTGGGCCTCAGAGGAACCTTCCAAGTCTCCTGGGTGCTCTGCATCCGGTGTGGGGCACCCACTCCCAGAGCACTGAGAGTAAGGTTCGAGGTCTAGTGACATCCCCCTTACCTGGTGGTCTCTCCACTGCCTGGGTCCTGGGGCGCCTCCCTTGGCTGGCGGGAGGTCCCCGTGGGGGCCGGATGAGGCTCCTCCTGGCGTGCTCTTGGGAGCCACTCTCCTGGCTTGGCGTTGATGGCTGCTGGGGAGGAGGAGAGGAAGTTCAGTCCACATCTGCTGTGGAGCCCCTCTAAGGATGCCCTCTCCTGGGCTGGGCTGGAAAGCCAAGAAAAGCACACACCCCAGGCCAGGCCCTGCGGGCTCCCTGGCGCCTGTGGCTTGGGATACTTGTTTACTCGTGCAGCCCGGGAACTTGCCAGGCAGCGGGGGATGGCAGGCACACTGCTGGCGGCAACAGGCACGGCCCAGGGAGGTGCAGATCACCCTGGCCGCTCAGCCTTCCTGGCACCCCTCAGCCTCTGGAAAGCCCGCAGAACAACGAATTGTCTCCCTGGGCCATGGCTACGCACCTCCAGATGAAACGTGGAGGCACATTTGCTTATCTGAAACTCAAATGTAACTGGGTGGCATGTAGTTTTATCTGCTAAAACCAACAACCTGAGAGGTAGGGTGCTCCTCACTGAGCAGCCCAAGGCTCCTTAATGCTGAACCCCTAAGTACACCCGGGGTGGCCAGGAAGTGCCCTCACTCCCAATGACTGGTGCCGTAGCTAATGCCCACCCGGAACCAGGCCACCTGGGATACACAGGAGCCCTTCACGGGGAAGCAGATGGAGAATCCTAGAGAGCATCATAGCATATGGAGGGCTCCCCAATGGCCTGGGGACAGATATTGCTGCATCTCAGATGCCACGTACCCCTTCTCCCACCCCACCTCTCCTCTTCTCCTACAGCTGAGGGGGGCCATGTCACTGCTGCAGTGACTGTGACAGAGACTGCATCCGCAACTCCCTTAGGCCAAGCTCCTCTCAGCTCTTTCATTTTAGAAGCAGCTCTGCGGCTTTGCAATGTGATCTATTTAATCTTAAATATAAAGGGATCTTCCCTGCAGGTTTCCCTGTAGCAAGGGGCTTTGACTTCCAGATAATTCTCTTTTGACCCAAACGAGAACCTATTTCTGATACCAGAACCCAGCGGGTGGCACTGGGCGGTCTCCACCTGTATCTGGGTCTAGAAATAGAGCTTCAGGACAGGTGGCACCTGCTCCATGTGCTTAGAATAAGGCCAGGAGACAAAGCATAGGTGTACAAGAGAATACTTGAGTGAAGTCACACTGAACTGCTGGGCTACACGCAGGGGAACCCCATTACAACGCGTGGAGTCACAAAGCTGTGCCCACGTCAGGCAAGTCCTCTAGGACCAGGATCAGGAGCTTCCCAGGGCGTGTGAGGGTAGGGGACGGGGTGGTCATAAAAAGGAGGAACTGAGCTGGAGTGTCCTGAGACCGTGAGGTGGTCCTGGTTCAACTGTCCCATTCTCCTCTCCTACTTCCTCCAGCACAGGACACACTGCAGACTTTCAGAGGTCCCACCGAGACCAGCCGAGCATGGTGGCTCACGCCTGTAATCTCAGCACTTTGGGAGGCCGAGGCAGGCAGCTTGAGGTCAGGAGTTTGAGACCAGCCTGGCCAACATGGTGAAACCCTGTCTCTACTAAAAATACAAAAATTAGCCGGGTATGGTAACACATGCCTGTAATCCCAGCTATTCAGGAGGGTGAGGCAGAGGAATCACCTGAACCTGGGAGGCAGAGTTTGCAGTGAGCCAAGATCGCACCACTGCACTCCGGCCTGGGCGAGAGAGCGAGACTCCATCTCAAAAAAAAAAAAAAAACAAAAACCAAAACAAAACAAGAGACTCCCTAACTAAGAGAGCCAGGAGCCAGGAGATGGGGCAGCCATGGGTGTGCACGGGGGGCTTCCTGGGACAGTAGTATCTCTTGCCTGCTGGTCCATTTCAGACAGGGCTGGGCATTTTAACTCCCAGGGCTATGAAGTCCCAAGGCATGTGATTTTGATATTGAAGATAGTCCCGGTTGGTGGGGAAATGAGAATAGCTTTCCTCAGGCCAATGTTTTGCAAAATGCTAAGCCATATTATTGGCCTTTTCCCTTGGGAACTATTTCCTCCTGGCATTTGGGGCTGCGTCTTTTGCCTAGAATGTTCTTTCTGGCCCTGCGTTCAACCGATCAAGCAGTCTGAGGGTCCAACAGGTTCCCCCTCATGAGTTTTCCCTGCAGTGCTGACTGAACGCAAAGCACAAAGGCTCTTCCTCAAGAAACTCAACGTGAAGGTGGGGGTTTCCACGGGGTCTCTGGGTGGGGCGTTAGTTCCCAGCACAGGCCAGACTCGGCAGCGAGCTGTGTGCAAGGAGACCTGTGGGGAGTACTGCCTGGGGCCAGGATGGGCCTGGGGCAAGGTGAGCGAGAGAAGAGAAGTGGAGGGGGCCCCATGCCTGTAATCCCAGCACTTCGGGAGGCTGAGGTGGGAGGATCGCTTGAGCCCAGGGGTTCAAGACTAGCCTGGGCAGCACAGAGACACCTCTCTCTACAATCAATCAATCTATCTATCTATCAATCAATTGAAGTGGAGGGGAGGGATGGAGAAGCAGGACTGCCTGGAGGAAGTCAGAGCAAGCTCCTGAGCAGGGAAGGAATGAAACAGAAGGCAGCGTGGCTCAGGGGTGCCCACGCCCAGCCCAGCACTGCCCGCTCTCTGCTCTCCCTGATGCTCATCCCCCTCCACATCACTCATCCCCTGGCTTAACGGGCTTAATCGCAGTCCCCTTATCTGCAGAGCCCAGACGGAGCACAGAAGCAGAGGCCTGTGTGCCATCTATCCCTTAGGCGGAGGCAGGTGACAGGATAGGGAGAGGGGCAGGGAGGCCAACCGCGGAGACGCAGCAGGCCGTGGGCAGGCCTGTCTGAAAGAAAGTAACTCAGAATGGGAGTCTACTCCAGGCATGGCAAAGGCTTACTCATGACCTAGAGGAAACTTCACCTGGGGCTTGGTTTTTCCAAAGGAAGAACTTTTTGTCAAGTAAAAGGATTTTAAAGGAGACTAAGAGGGTCAGGCATGATGGCTCATGTCTGTAATCCCAGTGCTTTGGGAGGCTCAGGCGGGAGGATTACTTGAGACTAGGAGTTCAAGACTAGCCCAGGCAACAGAAAAACTCCATCTTTACAAAAAATTTAAAGAAAACAAAACTTTGCTTGGCATGGTGGTGCATCTGTAGTGCCAGCTACTCAGGAGGCTGAAGTGGGAGGATCGCTTAGGCACAGGAATGTGAGGCTGCAATGAGCTATGTATGATTGGCCACTGCACGCCAGCCTGGGGGACAGAGTGAGACCTTGTCTCAAAATAAAATAAAATAAAGTAAAATAAAATAAAATAAAGTAAAATAAAATAAAATAGAAGGAGGACTAGGGGTGTTGGCCTGAGGCTCAGAGCGGGCCTGGCAGGACCAGGGAGGGTAGCGACTATTCCTGGTGTCTGGCAGGTGGAGAAGAGCAGGGCGGGGGGTCAGTGTCCTGGGTCCCAGCCAGGCTGAGCCAATAGGAGCAGGCCTGAAGGAGGGACACTCAGAACACAGTCTCAGCATTTGGGGCAGGTTAATGGGGGCATCGACAGCAGGATTTGGGAAGAGCACTGCTCTGGCTCCAGCTGGTCCAACTGGGGGCGCTGGTGGGCAGCTGCTGCCTCCCTAGGAAGCAGCACTGGCAACCACCCATGACCACCAAGGCTGAGTCTCCTGGTGGGTGCCCACCCTGTTCATGCAAGGACCCGGAATGTGCCTGGGCCCAGACTTTGTCAGGGCTCAAGTAAACTGCTCTTGAAAAGAACAATAACGTGAACACTACAGCAGCCGCTCCTTGGCCTTTTCCATCCATGCCAACCTCAAGTGCCTCCACTCTGCAGGTAACAGCATGGCAGCTTCCCAAAGGCACGTCCAATCAGTGCAAAAATAAAGGGCCTCTTAGTGGTCATTTTGGTAAAGCAAGGATGTTACTGCTACGTTACCCTGAATGTACTGTGGAGCCTTTTAGGAAGTCCAGGCCTAAGAATTTGAAATCAGTTTTAACTCAATGGCATTCAGTCAAACTGGCAAAACTTGTTAGACGCCCCCTAAGACCTCCACCCTGACAGCAGAAATCTCTGGAGAAATTACTAAGCTGCTCACCTTTAGAGAGCACATGAATATTGACAGCTCTAGTAAAGCACGGGCAAAATAACTGATGATCAATGCTGGCAAAACCTCTGAAACTGCTCACCACCAAGAGACCCAGGGTCCCACATAACCCAGCCACTGCTGACTCGTCACTGGCTACCGCTCTGCACCTGGGTCTGGAAGCGTCTGAATCCAATTGTGAGCAGATGCAAGTTCTCAGATGTTTCTCAGACAGGAATCCAACCCGTTCCTCTGTTGTTTTTCCTACTCAAATGGAAATTAGAGTCTTATCTGAACTGCTCATAATCCTTTTAATTTCCTTTCAAAAATTAAAAAAAAATACTTTGTACATTTCTGATTCAAAGCATATATATTTTTTCTGGCATCTAAAAAATACTTTTATCTCCCATCAGCCTCTGGTTAACTCAGCTGGAAGTTTCAAACGCGTTTGGATCCCAGAGTTGTTTGTGCTTTTAGTTGCACATTTCTGCCTCGGTCCAGCCTTCCAGCAGGCGGCTGGCCTCCTCTGCACCAGAATCTGAGCTACCAGAACCAGGGATTCTGAGCTACATCAGCCTGGGATTTCTCCTCTGAAGTTTCATATTAAAGCCGGCTTTCACCAGTCAGAAATCTTGCCCCAGGAGCTCCCAGACAGGACAGCAGGCAGTGCTCCGAGAAGGGGACGCAGAGGACCAGCCCAGCGTGGGTCTGGCTGTGGGCTGGGAATCCCATGAGCCTCTGTGACACAGGGCTGTGGCTGAGACCAGAGGACTTCCCGGGAGCAGGTGTGTGTCTGCCACTCCTGCTGCTGTTTCGCGTGGGTTCTAGACATCACAGTTCCAGAACTGACCCGACGTGCTGCCCGTGTTCTTACATGAAGAGGAGACGCGGGACTCCGGGGTGCTGGGCTTGCCCTCCCTGTAGACAGCCTCGTGAGGGTTTGGCAGGGCCTGCGGGTGGCTGTTTGTGGGGTGTTGGGCTGTCTGGGGAGGTGTGTGATGGTCTTCCAGCCTGGAGAAAAACATGAAAAACGGTATTAAGTACAGCCAGCCAGGAGATTCGGGCCGCCGAATGCTGTGCAGCATCACAAATACAGGAGGGGGTGGTGCCTCAAAGTCCTGTTAAACCATCATTGGCATATCAGACCTTTTAAAGGGTCTTGGCAGGAGCCAGGAGGCTGACCCTGTGAGGCAGTAGCCTCCTCTTGCTCCTGTTAGCCCCCTTCTGTATTCACAGTGATACATGGCGTGTTGTATTCCTAACACACAATTATGTCTTACCACTCTGGGTGACATGGGGCCATGACATTTCAAGCAAACAATGTAAGGCACCGATCTCCTGGTTTTCTCCAAGGATTAAGCATATGAATGAAGGGATGAATCCAACCAGAGAAGACATAACAAGTCATGTCAGCCGTGGCAAGTGTTGGCCAAGAACAAGACTGAAGAATTTTCTTCTTTTTTTTTTTTTCTTAGAGACAGGGTTTCACTCTGTTGCCTAGGCTGGGGTGCCATGGTGCAACCACAGCTCACTGCACCCTTGACCTCCCAGGCTCAAGTGATCCTCCCATCTCAGCCTCTGGAGCAGCTGGGACTACAGATGGGCGCCTCCACACTCAACTGATTTTTTAATTTTTTGCAGAGACAAGGTCTCTCTATGTTGCCAGGACTGGTCTCGAACTCCTGGGCTCAAGCAATTCTCTCACCATGGCCTCCCAAAGTGCTGGGATTGCAGGCGTGAGCCACTGTGACTGGCCTAGAACTTACTTTCTTATAACACTACCTAAAGGATGTGTGCAGAACAACTTCTTTGCAGTGTCTAATGTTGGCACCCAAGCTGGGGGAGACACCCTCGCCCAGCAGGCAAGCGCTGAGAGCTTCATGCACCAGATCCAGCCAGATGCGAGGGCCAGCTGGCTGGGACAGCCTCATTGGGTCAGCCTTGACCACAGATCCCCGAGGAAGGCCCTCTAGTTATCTATAAGGCAATGGAGCACTCGCTCCCCCTTCAACAAGGAGATATGGGCCACCTACGCCAACAAGGGCTCAGTGGGGGGCACACAACAAGCTCGTGCCTGCCTAGGGCTGGGCCCTGCAAATGGCTGTTCTTGAATGTCAATTTCATATGTCTGGCTGGGCGTGGTGGCTCACGCCTGTAATCCCAGCACTTTGGGAGGCCGAAGAGGGCAGATCACTTGAGGTCAGGAGTTCGAGACCAGCTTGGCCAACATGGTGAAACTCCATCTCTACTAAAAATACAACAATTAGCCAGACGTGGTGGCGTATGCCTGTAGTCCCAGCTACTCAAGAGGCTGAGGCAGGAGAATCACTTGAGCCAGGAAGGTGGAGGTTGCTGTGGGCCAACATTGTGCCATTGTACTCCAGCCTGGGCAACAGAGTGAGACTCTGTCTCAAAAAAAAAAAAAAAAAAAAGAAAGAAAAAAAACTTCACGTGGCTCAACCCAACACCAAAGATAAGGAGACATGTAACCACCCTGAGGTGGGCAGGAAAGTCTTCCCAAGGTGGGCGATCAGTCTTTTTTTTTTAAATAGAGACAAGGTCTCACTGTGTTGCCATGGCTAGTTTTGAACTGAGCTCAAGTAATCCTCCCACCTTGGCCTCCCAAAGTCCTAGGATTACAGGCGTGAGCCACCACACTCCTAGCCAACTCGGTTTTGAACTCTTGGGTTGGGGTTTGCCAGGTGCCAGAAGAGGGAAGATTTTCCAGCAGAAGTAACACCATGAGCAAGGTGAAGAGGGGAGAAATATCTATACATCTATATATGGTGTGTGTGTGTGTATACATATATATATTTGTGCTGCATTGTTACAGAAAGATGTAAAAAATCAGAAAATATGGATGCCCCCTACCTCCCTTTCCTGAAAAGACCTGTGCGACAGTAGCGTGGAAGGGGCAGGGTATCCTGGGGGGCTCTGATGCTTGTGGCAGGGGTGTCAATTGAGAAGCACCCTGTAAGGCCAGAATTTAAACTTGACCCCCAAGTAATGGAGAACCAAAGGAATGACGTTCCCTGCTAGAAAGATCATTCCGTCCACAGTTGTGGAAGGTGGACGGTGGCAGGGAGCACTGTTAGGAGGACCTCCCCGAGCCGTGAAGGCCGGTGGCGGGCAGGACGGGGTGGGAGGAGCGTGCAAACCTGCTGGACTCTGGCTTGGCTGTTTGCGGGCACTCATGCCATGCCCTGAAGCAGGGGACTCAGATGGCAGCTGTGTTGGTCTAGGAAATGCTGAATTGGGGGTGCTGTAGGCACATATCTGGGCTGAGTGTGGGTGTCATCAGTGAGTAGTAGAAACTAGGGAACAGGCAGGATGGAGTGAGGGCCTTCGATGGGGCCTCTGGAGAGGAAGGGGGTAAGAGGCCGAGGCCAGCACATGGGGACTGGGGTGGAATGACTCCCAGGAGGGGTCACCAGCCGGCAACTGAAAGAGCGGGGACAATGTGCCCTGAGTGTCCTCGGGGTTGGAAACTGGAAGGTCATCTGTGGTCTTGGCAGAAATACCCTCTGGAAGTCATCGCCTGGCCACAGAGGGCTGAGTGGAGAGGAAGATGGGGCAGGGACACAGCCAGAGAGGGTCTGAGAGGAAGGGAGGCAGAGCCCCAGGGCCTGTCGAGAGGCCCGAGGAAGGCAGCAGGAGGGGAGGATGAAGACAGAGCAAAGGATGTATTCAGGGATTGCACAGAGATCGGGGAGACAGAAGGATCTGGAACCCATGCAGGGGGCAGGGTTGGGTGGGAAGAAAATGGCCAGGGAGGTGCAGCTGATGCTAGGCTGAGGTGGGGTAGGAGGGTCCCCATTGCACAGGGCAAATATGTTTATCTGCAACCTTTTTTTTCCTCGATTATAAAGCCAGTAAGTGTTTATCATGAAAAATTAGGTAAATATAGAGAATATATACATGACCTGCCCTCCCAATATCTAAGCACAACCACTTAACATTTGATTTTTTAAAAAATTTTAAAAATATGCAAATACACACTTAAAAATACTAGCTTGGGTTCATTCTAAATGGCTAGCATGCTATATTCACACCATTCTATAATTTGCTTTTTCACTTAGCAATATATTGTGAGGCTCTTCCCATGTCATTCAATATTTTTCTAAAACATCATCTTCAGTACTCTTTTGTGTGAATATATCATAATTTACATAACCAGCCTCCTATTTTGGGAATGTAATTTCTTTCTTTTTTTTTTTTTTGAGATGGAGTCTCACTCTGTTGCCTAGGCTGGAGTACAGTGGCGTGATCTCGGCTCACTGCAATCTCAGCCTCCCTGGTTCAAGCGATTCTCCTGCCTCAGCCTTCCAAGCAGCTGGGATTACAGACACCCACCACCACACCCGGCTAATTTTTGTATTTTATTTATTTATTTATTTATTTTGGAGGTGGAGTCTCGCTCTGTTGCCCAGGCTGGAATGCAGTAGCACGATCTTGGCTCACTGTAAGCTCTGCCTCCTGGGTTCACACCATTCTCCTGCCTCAGCCTCCCTAGTAGCTGGGACTACAGGCGCCCGCCACCACGCCCAGCTAATTTTTTGTATTTTTAGTAGAGACAGGGTTTCACCGTGTTAGCCAGGATGGTCTCGTTTTCCTGACCTTGTGATCTGCCCGTCTCGGCCTCCCAAAGTGCTGGGATTACAGGCGCGAGCCATCGTGCCCGGCCAAATTTTTGTATTTTTAGTAGAGACGGGGATTCACCATCTTGGCCAGGCTGGTCTGGAACTCCTGACCTCGTGATCCACCCACCTCGACCTCCCAAACTGCTGGGATTACAGGTGTGAGCCATCACGCCCGGCCTGGGAATGTAATATCTAATTTTATGAATAATATTGCAACAAATAACCTTGTGTGTGCTTATATATCGATATCTATTTGTATCCATCTATCTACCTATCATCTATCTATCTATCTATCTATCTATCTATCTATCTATCTATCCTGTGAACATCTGATTACTTCTCAGTATAAAATCCTAGCAGCCTGGGCGACAAGAGCCAGACTCTTGTCTCCAAAAAAAAAAAAAAAAAAAAAAAAAAAGTCGTAGCAGTGGAATTACTGATTCCAAAAGTACTAGTGGCCGGGCTGGGCATAGTGGCTCACACCCGTAATCCCAGCACTATGGAAGGCGGAGGTAGGAGGATTGCTTGAGCTCAGGAGTTCAAGACTAGGCAACATAGTGAGACTCTGTCTCTACAAAAAATTAAAAATTCAGCCAGATGTGGTGGCGCATGCCTGTGGTCCCAGTTACCTGGGAGGCTGAGGTGGGAGGATGGTTTGAGCCCAGGAGGTCAAGGCTGCAGTGAGCTGTGATTGTGCCACTATACTCCAGCTGGGGTGACAGAGCCAGATGCTGTCTCAAAACAAAACAAAACCAAAACAGTCCTGGTATTCTGAATGTGTACAATACATACTGTCATAGTCCTCAAGAGGACTAAGATTCTAGATTTATCCACACTCCTGGCAACGGGATTCCAGAGGGTGCTGGTGGTGAAGGAAGGGTCATAATTTTTTTTTGTTTGTTTTGGTTAGGAATATTTATGTACTTAGTGGTTCACCAAGTATATAATAACTCCAAATCAGTAAACACAAATGTCAGAAACGGTAGCATGGCTATATAAATTATGGTGTAAATATAATATAAATCATTAAATCATCTTTTGCAGGATGTTCAACAATGCAAAAGAAAACAAACAAAATTCAAACTGCAAACAAACCATATACACATGTAGACACATACACAAACACTGAAAGGTTTCTCGTTTGCTGAAAATATATGTAGGAAAAAAACTACACTAAACGTAACGCACTAAAATGATGATCACAATTCTGTCTGGCTGCTGGAATAAATAGTTTTTATTTTCTTTATATTTACTTGTTCCATACATGTTTTTGACTACAAGTAACAAAAGTTCAACACCACTGGTTTAAACGGTAAGGGAAATGTAATATTCAACATAAACAGAATTCCAGAGGTAGCGAGTACAGGGTGG